AGCCCCCGCAAGGAGCTTCCGAAAGATCAAGCTCATGGCGGCGGCTCTTGCCCTCGAGCCGCCCGATCCTCTCGTCGCCGTGCGCAGTGCAGCTGATTGAGGGTCGGAGGATCGCGCCGCATCGCCAATGCGTCGCTGGTGCATCGGCGACGCACCGGCGACGTCGGTGATGCATCGGCGCCCTCGGCGAGGAGTAGGCTGGGCTCCACGTCGAGCTGCATCGCCGAAAATTCAAGTCATACTTCGGGTCTCCGTCGGCCATTCGGGACTATCCATGCAAACAAGGAGCGCCCTGGGCAATACACGGCGAGGTATTGCTCAGATCCGCGCGGTGCCTCACTCCGCTGGACCCACCAGCAGCCCTCGAAAGTGGCGACAATTTCGCAGATCGCAGCCCCCCCAGGCACGGCGAGGTCTTGCTCAGATCCGCGCGCTCCCTGACCCACCACACCCCCGAAAGTGGCACAGGTCGCCGATCGCACCCGGAGCACGGCGAGTCCTGCTAGCTGAGCGTGAATCCGCGCGGTTCCGCTGGACCCATCCAGCAGCCCTCCAAAGTGGCGATTATATATAATATGGCGACAATTTTTCGCAGATCGCACCACCCCTAGGACGGCGAGTCTTAGCTCAGATCCGCGCGCCCTCACTCCGGCTGGACCTACCACAGCCCACGAAAGTGGCGACAGTACGCAGATCGCAGCCCCCCAGGCACGGCAGGTCTTCTCAGAACCGCGCGTGCCTTCCCCCCGCTGACCCACCACACCCTCCGAAAGTGCGACAATTTCGCAGATCGCAGCGCAGCCCCCCCAGGCACGGCGAGGTCTTGCTCAGATCTGCGCGGTGCCTATTCCGCTGGGCCCACCAGCAGCCCTCGAAAGTGGCGACAGTTTCGCAGATCGCAGCCCCCCAGCACGGCGAGGTCTTGCTCAGATCTGCGCGTCACTCCGCTGGATCCACCAGCAGCCCTCGAAAGTGGCGACGGTTTCGCAGATCGCAGCCCCCCAGGGACGGCGAGGTCTTGCTCAGATCTGCGCGGTGCCTCACTCCGCTGGACCCACCAGCAGCCCTCGAAAGTGGCGACACTTTCGCAGATCGCAGCCCCCCAGGGACGGCGAGGTCCACCTCAGATCTGCGCGGTGCCTCACTCCGCTGGACCCACCAGCAGCCCTCGAAAGTGGCGACACTTTCGCAGATCGCGGCCCCCCAAGGATGGGGAGGTCCGCTCAGATCCGCGCGCTGCCTCACTCCGCTGGACCCACCAGCAGCCCCCGAAAGTGGCGACAATTTCGCAGATCGCAGCCCCCCAGGCACGGCGAGGTCTTGATCAGATCCGCGCGGCGCCTCACTCCGCTGGACCCACCAGCAGCCCCCGAAAGCGGCGACAGGTTCGCAGATCGCAGCCCCCCCAAGCACGGCAAGGTCTTGATCAGATCCGCGCTGCGCCTCACTCCGCTGGACCCACCAGAAGCCCTCGAAAATGGCGACAGTTCGCTAGATCGCAGCCCCCCCGCACAGCGAGGTCTTCTCAGGATTCCGCGCGGTGCCTCACTCCGCTGTACCCACCAGCATCCCCCGAAAATGGCGACAGTTCGCAATCGCTGCCCCCCAGTCCGGGAGTTGCTCAGATCGCGCGGTGCCTCACTAGTCTCTCGCTGTTCCCCACCAGCAGCCCCACGAAAAGCTGGCGACAATTTCGCAGATCGCCGCCACCCCAGCACGGCCGAGGTCTTGCTCAGATTTCCGCGTGCGCCTCACACCGCAGGAACCCTACCAGCAGCCCTCGAAAGTGGCGACAGGTTCGCAGATCGCAGCCCCCCAGGCACGGCGAGGTCTTGCTCAGATCCGCGCGGTGCCTCCCCCCGCTGGACCCACCAGCAGCCCTCGAAAGTGGCGACAATTTCGCAGATCGCAGCCCCCCCAGGCACGGCGAGGTCTTGCTCAGATCCGCGCGGTGCCTCACTCCCTGACATACCACAGCCCCCGAAAATGGCGACAGGTCCAGATCGCACCCCCCAGCACGGCGAGACGGCGAGTCTTGCTCAGAATCCGCGTGCTCACTCCGCTGGAACCCCCACCAGCAGCCTCCCGAAAGGGTGACAATTTTCGCAATCCGCAGCCCCCCAGCACAGATATATATATGTTTCCGAGACTATCGGCCACCGCGATCGCAAGCCCCCCCAAGCCAACGGCCGAAGGACTTGATTCAGATCCGCGCGGTGCCTCATCCCTGGCACCAAAAAAAAAAAATACCAGCAGCCCTCAAAAGTGGCGACAGTTTCGCAGATCGCAGCCCCCCAGGCACAGCGAGGTCTTGCTCAGGTCCGCGCGGCGCCTCACTCCGCTGATCGCAGCCCCCCCAAGCACGGCGAGGTCTTGATCAGATCCGCGCGGTGCCTCACTCCGCTGGACATACCAGCAGCCCTCAAAAATGGCGGCAGGTTCGCAGATCGCAGCCCCCCAGGCACGGCGAGGTCTTGCTCAGATCCGCGCTGCGCCTCACTCCGCTGGACCCACCAGCAGCCCTCGAAAGTGGCGACATTTCGCAGATCGCAGCCCCCCAGGCTCGGCGAGGTCTTGCTCAGATCCGCGCGGTGCCTCACTCCGCTGGACCCACCAGCAGCCCTCGAAAGTGGCGACAATTTCGCAGGTCGCAGCCCCCCAGGCACGGCGAGGTCTTGCTCAGATCCGCGCGGCGCCTCACTCCGCTGGACCCACCAGCAGCCCTCGAAAGTGGCGACAGGTTCGCAGATCGCAGCCCCCCAGGCTCGGCGAGGTCTTGCTCAGATCCGCGCGGCCGCCTCACTCCGCTGGACCCACCAGCAGCCCTCGAAAGTGGCGACAGTTTCACAGGTCGCAGCCCCCCAGGGATGGCGAGGTCTAATTTGGGTCCGCGCGTGGCGTTACTGTGCTGGGCCCCCCAGCAGGCCTCGAAAGTGGCGACAGTTTCACAGATCGCAGCCCCCCAGGGATGGCGAGGTCTAATTTGAATCCGCGCGTGGCGTCACTGTGCTGGGCCCCCCAGCAGGCCTCGAAAGTGGCGACAGTTTCACAGATCGCAGCCCCCCAGGGATGGCGAGGTCTAATTTGGGTCCCGCGTGGCGTCACTGTGCTGGGCCCCCCAGCAGGCCTCGAAAGTGGCGACAGTTTCACAGATCGCAGCCCCCCAGGGATGGCGAGGTCTAATTTGGGTCCGCGCGCGGCGTCACTGTGCTGGCCCCCCCCCAGCAAGCCTCGAAAGTGGCGACAGTTTCACAGATCGCAGCCCCCCAGGGATGGCGAGGTCTAATTTGGGTCCGCGCGTGGCGTCACTGTGCTGGGCCCCCCAGCAGGCCTGGAAAGTGGCGACGGTTTCACAGATCGCAGCCCCCCAGGGATGGCGAGGTCTAATTTGGGTCCACGCGTGGCGTCACTGTGCTGGGCCCCCCAGCAGGCCTCGAAAGTAGCGACAGTTTCACAGATCGCAGCCCCCCGTAGGCAAGACAGGAGGAGGCAGGCAGAAGGCGGGAGGAAGGAAGGTGGAGACCACAGCCCCTTATTCAAAACGAATACCCAACCAAGGAGGGTTGATGCTACGAAACGGACCTCTCGCGCGCGCTCGTCGCAATCGTTCGAACGAAATGGTATGCGTGCTGTCGCATGAACCCACAGCACAAGAAACGGGACGCCAAATCTGAGATTTGACGCGAACTCCCGCTTCAAGCATCCAATGAAAACCGTCAAAACCCAAGACATGCACGTCAAAACGTGGAGACAAACCCGAGTTCGGGCGAACTCGAGTCTCACGTTTCCTTGAGTCTTCTCCCCCTAAAGAAATTGACCCTGGTGTTGACCCCTACCCCCCATCTCCCCATCTACTCGGATCTCATTTGGAACCTCCTCCTCCTCACCCTCCTCCTCCTCGTCCTCCTCCTTCCCCTCACTCCTCCTCCTCCTCCTCCCCCTCCTCCTCCTCCTCCTCCTCCTCCTCCTCCTCCTCCTGCTCCTCCTCCTCCTCCTCCTCCCCCTCCTCTTGTCACGCCCCCAGACATGTCGGTGGGGCGGGCCGAGTGTTCCGCCTGAGACATCCTCACCGCTTATGGTCCTGAAGATTGATAGTTAAAGAAGCGTCACGGATGAAGGGCGGGTCGAGTCGTGCTCAAAATGTTGCCCTCACCGGAGCGCCGCGCACATTCGTCTTGAACCTTTGCAGCAGTTGTAGGGGTTGGGGGCGGGTCCTTTTCAAGATGTGGTTATCGGCTTAGCGCTGGGCACATTCGTCTAAGTTTGCGACAGTTGCAAAGATGGGGGCCTGGTCATTTTCAACATGTGGCTCTCCCCTTAGCGCCGCGCGCGCTCCCAGTAAAAGTTTGCAGCGGTTTCGCGGATGGAAGGCGGACCGATTCCAAGATCTTGCTCTCGCCCAAGCGCCGCACACATTCGTCTTGAGAGCTTGCAGCAGTTTCTAGGATCGGGGACGAATCCTTCTAAAGATGTGGCGCTCGCCTTTGCGCCGCGCACATTCGTTGCAGAAGCTTGCAGCGGCTTCAAGGATTCGTATAATTGAAGTCCCATGAACGGCTTTCTGACACGATGTATCATTATCAGAAAGACACGTTATAACAGGCGATTCGCTATATCAGGAATGCAGTTTCGGCATGACTTAGGACAATCAGGACGCAACAGTCGCGTTTATTCGCGGCGTTGAAATCCCAGGACTGTGTTGTGGCACGATTGAAGATTATAGTCAAGATATTCCAGCGGTGCCCTTCCACAGTTCTCGTAATGAAAATAAATTGTTGCAAGGAGTTCCCTACGAAGAAGAAACGTGGAGGGAAGGTCTCATCTAGAGCAACATCGATGATGCGTCCTGGCTTTGCACTGCTTCTCCTCCTCCTCCTCCTCCTCCTCCGCGATCCTCCTCCTCCATCCTCGACCATCATCCCTCCTCCTCCCCGCCCCTGGCCTCCACAGGCGGCCTGTAGCTCCTCGACCATCCCCCCCCCCGCCCTGAGAGGGCCCGCCTCCAGCGCGCCCACGCCCTGCGGGCTGTCGCTCAGCGCCGACGCCCACGCCTCTCTCGGGCGGGCGGGCCCCTCGGCCCGCCCACGGCCATCAGCCAGCTCAGCCGTCGACGGGCCGTCCGAAGGCGACCCGGGATGGAGCACTGGCCCCATGGGGGAGGCATCGGGCCCTCCAGGGGCCCCGCTCTCTCCATGGCGGCACCAGTGGTGCAATCAGGGCATGGCCGCCAGAACGCTGGCCACGATCGAGGATCGAGGGACGGGATGTGAAACGCTCTTGGCTCTGCGGGGGCGCCATCGTGGCCACGGCGGCTGGACGCACCTCGAGAAAGTGGGCAGGATGGACCCTCGCGCGCTGGCCTCATTCGTTGTTTGTTGGACTGCAGCGGGGACCTGCCTGGGGCGTCGTCGGCCGCCGCCTGTCCGGACGAGCTGGCGCTGCCGTTCGTACGGCGGCGCGCCCAGCTTTCAGCAACCAAGGCCCTGACATCCTGCAGCTGTGCATCCTTGAAGGGGCCCTGGAACACACAACAAATACACACAAATAACAGGATTCCAAACACTTTCTCATATTTGGTGGGTTTTTGTCTTCCCCCCCGCTTCCCATATTTTCCTAGGGAGTCGACGATGAAATTGTGTCTGTGTGGTTTTTTCCCTCCTGAATCCTGTGTGCGCCCACGGCCATCCAACTGGTTGCCGTGAGGACCGCGGACCACGGAACGGAGGTTGAAGACGGCTGTTGGGACGAGGTGGCCCAGCGCCGCTTCGGGCTTCCAGCTGACAGGAAAGGAGAGCGAAAGGGGCCCCGCCGTCGCTGCGGCTGGCCGCGGCTCGAAAAGCTAGTCGGGATTCCACCCCGGGAGTGGTCTCGGGACCGACTTTGAGCGACTCTGCCTCGGCCTCTCTCCCCCCTCGTGACCCATGCTCCCTGGGCTCCTGGCAGCCCTCCGGCCGCCCTCAGAGCGAAAGGGCCCTGCTGGCCACGGCGGGCCTCGGCCGTGAGCAGACTCCTGCCGGGCGTTGGCAGAAGTGGGTTCAGTGGGACCTGGCTTAGCGACGTGTGCGGGGGGCGCCCCCCTGGGCCCCGTTCCACTCACCGGAACTGCCGCCACCAGGAAAAGCACCAGCTACGGTAGACCTGGCTTCGTGATTCTGGCAAATTGAAGGGCTCTGGGGCCTTACTACTAACCGGGTCCCTTTACCATTAAGTCGGGCCTGTCCCCCTACAGGCCGATTTTAAGCGAGTAAAAATAGTCAAAAAGATACCCTAAAATATTCAAAAATGGTAAAACAAATCATCCCCTGACTCTTTTCTACTATTTTTGAATTCTCCTCCTGTAGAGGGACAGGCCCGACATAACCTTACCTGGGGCCCTGGCTGTACCCGGTCCTGCGAAGCGCTGCAGAGGGGACGAGGGGGCCCGCCTGGCCACGCTGGGTCCCCTGGGCGCGAGCAGGTCCCCTGACCTGGAGCGAAGGCACGACCAGAGAGCCAGAGCCCCTCGCCAGCGTCCTCCGATTCTGGGTCTCGACATCTGGCCGAGGGCAGGGGGGGGGCAGGCGGAAGGACCCAGGCGGGGGCGTCGTCGCTCTGCTCCTGCCGCTCGCGCGGGCAGGACTGGGGGCGAGGGGCCCGGACCGGTCGCCAAAAGCAGCCGCCAACGCAGCCGAGATCTGGTCCATGGTCGGGCGGGGCGGCAGGGGGGCACAGGGGGGGTTTGAGAATCAGCTCACGTAGCTGATTTTCCCGGCGCCTCCCAGCGCCGGACGCGGCTATGTATCCAGGAATGGGCCAGTGGGGCCCAAACTAGCTGCATGCAGCAGATTTCGTACCCCCCCCTTTCCCAGTCCCCCCCTTTCGTCCGGCCCGATATGGGCGGCGGGCGGCGGGCGGGCGGCGGAGGGCGGATGCCCGCGCCGATCGGCGAAACAAGAGATGGAGAGACGGCGACAACTGGAACCCAAAGATCGAGAGGCCGCCTCCCTCGCCACGCCCCCGGCCAGGGCCCGCCCGTGGGCTGGTCCCCAGAGCAGCCCCGGGCTCCTGTCCTGAGCGTGCTGTGCCGAGAGGGAGGGCATTGACGTGCCGAGGCCTGTCGACGAGCCGTCCCAGAGTGGTTCTTGTCTCAGCTTCTTGACGGCGCTCCCGCCCCCCCCCTTCGCGGGCTCCCAGCCCCATGCCCTCGACGGCTCTTACACTGAAGGGGCCCAGGGACACACAAATAAGTAGACACTCAGGATTCCCCGAATGTTTCCATACTCCTCTGAATTTCGTCTCCCCTTCCACTTTCTATGTGTTCTGTTCCTGGGGATCACGTTTACTTGTGTCTGTGTCTATTATAGATATTTGTATTAAAAAATGCGCAGGCATTTCAAATACAAGTGCCGGGGCCGACCTCTATTTTTGGGTTCGCTGCTTCGGCTCAAGAACCGTTTGGTCACCGCGCCGTCTGTTGGTTTCCGCGCCCCACGCGGTGCCTCACGCGGGCCGGCGGCGCGCCTCAACGCGCGGAGAGGAGAGGGTGCGGCTACGGGCGACCCTCGGTCGGCGCCATCCAGCCCGGCCGATCATCCAGAAGAACAGCAACGAAGAACTTACACATTCACCTTAGTGGCCCCACCCTTCCTTCCGCCTCCTCCTCCTCCTCCTCCTGCGACGACAGGGGGGGACTGACTCGGGGGGGGGGGGGGCGTAGACCTGGAATTGGGGATGCATCGCAGAACGTTTGCCCTCGGTGTTCCTGCCTCGGAAGCCTTCCAGCGGCTGCGCCTCGCCGAGGGCGCTCCGTGGGTGCCCGGAACCGCTGGAGGTCCGAGGAATGGCCCGAAGACCACCAGGGGACTGGCGGGGGGGAGACATGGGCCTGCAGTCAGCGATGCGTCGCCGATTGAACAGCGACAGGCCCTCGATAGCCGATCCGCATGGTCCTGGGCGGGGTGGGCCATCAGGCCGCCATCGGCGATGAATGGGCGATTGGGGGTCGCTGCCTCCCGAAGGCAGCCCCAGAGTCAACTTGAGGCGGTCCGCGCGAGAGGTTTCGGTCCTGGCGCGCGAACGCACCAGCCGTGGCGCCGGAGGCACCGCCAGGGGGTGCCCAGCGCCGACCCGAGAAACACGCGCGAACCGGATGTGTGCTTCTTCAACAGTCTGAGGTGTCCAGAGATCCGACGTGCTGATGTTTCAATGCAGGGCCCCCGAAATCTCGACCCTCTCCCCAAGGCCAGCTTTCGATCCAGACACGTTTTTGACGGTCCAGCGGCACAGCGAGTACCCCCAGACCCCGAAAACAACGGAAAAAAAATGTCGCAGTTTGTTTAAAATCGAAGCTTTGGAGGTGTGGCTTTCAACCTACGTATAAAACTCGAGCCGCTGGCGGCCGTCAGGGACGATCTGGGTGCCCCTGGAACGCTCCTGGCGAGGCGCGGCTGCTGGCAAGCCTTCCAGGGCGAAAGGACCTCCAGCAACAACTGCAGAAAACCTGCCAAAACCTAGGAGGACTGAGGATCGAGCAGGAAGATCGAGGATCGATGAGGATCCCAGTCTCCGCGAGCATCGACGCCCCTCCTCAAAAGGGATCAAGGAAGAGCAAACATGGATCAGCGACGCGTGGACTAGCGACGGGCCCCGCTTCCGTGCAGAATCGGCGTGTTCCGTCGCCAAGTCGGCCAGTACTGGTCATGTGTTATGAGGTACTCGGAGCAAAGTGATTTGAGACAGCGGCAACTCGAAATTGCACCCTGGACCCTACCTTGGCCCAAACGTACGACTTTTCGAGCTGCGGCCAACCGTGGCGCGACGAGGAAGCCCCCCGAAGGCCGACTACCGTTATCTCAACTTGCCTTCCTCTGCAGCACCTTCCCCAATCCGTGGATCTGGTGGCCCACGCGCCAGATCCACAGATCCCTACGGCGAGTTTGTCTCGTGACGACGTCGGCGTTGGTTCCTGACACAGCGTGGACCGTTCCAACCTTGAACGATCGGCGGCGTTTCGATCGCTGGACCGTTCCATACTGGTCGACTCTGGGCCGCTGGCGACGTTCAAGCTTGAACGCCCGCGCTGGTGTCGCCGCCGCGTCGACACGACACGAACGCGAATACGGTGCGGACGCGCCGGAAGAAAACCTGGCAGGCAAAAAGCCGTGCCTCGTGGTGACTGACCAGCGCGCGAGCTGCGACTGGGGAGACGCCCAGAGCACCCTGAACTCGTCAAGTTCTTGCACAGACGCGAGAGGTCACCGCGCAGCGCGGGAGGCGGGAGGAAAGAGGAGGGAGGAGGGAGGGAGGGAGAAGGGCGGAGGGCGGAGGGAGGAGGGAGGAGGGAGGAGGCAGGAGGGGAGAGGGAGGAACCCTGGCGAACAAAAAAAACCTCCGGTCTCTTCATGCGCGGCCCCACTGCATGCCGAAACCCGCAGACAGAGAATCGGCGAGCCGCGCCCCTGGCTGCGGCGACGCCGTCTGCTGCACCGCCGCCTTCGGCTCGCGGAGCCTTTTGGGGGCGGAGGAGGCGCGCGGCCCGTGGACCCGCCCCCTGTGCTCCTCGCTCCTCCTCCGATCCCCCCCCCCACCCCTCCCCTTCCTGCTCCTCCCTCCTCGTTTCTCCTCCTTCCCTCTCCTCCTCCTCCTCCTCCTCCTCCTCCTCCTCCTCCTCCTCCTCCTCCTCCTCCTCCTCCTCCTCCTCCTCCTCCTCCTCCTCCTCCTCCCCCCCCTCCTCCTCCTCCTCCTCCTCCTCCTCCTCCTCCTCCTTCTCCTCCTCCTCCTCCTCCTCCTCCTCCTCCTCCTCCCTCCCTCCCTCCCTCCCTCCCTCCCTCCCTCCCTCCCTCCCTCCCTCCCTCCCTCCCTCCCTCCCCCTCATCCTCCCTCCCCCTCCCCCTCCTCCTCCTCCTCCGCAGCTTCCGATAGTACTCAGCGGCATCCTCCCTGCTGGGGAGACATAAGACTCGAGTTGGCCTGACTGCGCCGGCAGGAGCATGACCCCTCGAACCCTTTCCCAGGGCAGCTTTTAGACGGCCCCGACGCGTTTGTTTAACGGCTCCGAGGCTCAAGCGAGACTAAACCAGACGCCTCTACATTTTTCGAGGCGCTGGACCCAAATCCAATGGATTGATGTATTCAACACGGGGTCCTGAGAAGTCCCGATCCTTTCCCATGGCCAGTTTCTCATCAGAGGCCGTTTTTGACAGCCCGAGACCCAACAAGAACCGAAGCAACACGTGGGGGATCTTGCTTTTTTGCGCCATGGCTTGGGTCTCTGGCGGCCTCTCGGGGCGCAGCTGCTGGCAGGCATCCCGAGGCGATAACACATGCAGCAAAGGGCGAGAAACCATGAAAACGGCAAGAGCGGACGACGACCCTGACATCCGCCGATCTGATTTTTCCCATCCGCGACGCAGCACTCCCGACCGCTTTACTACTTTTCCGCCCTAGATGCACTTCTGTCCAATAGCGCCCCCATAGGGTCCGAAACCTACGAAACCTACGAAAACCTGCCGGTTGGAAAATCATATCGTCCGAGAGCTGAGGGCGAAGACGACGACGGCGAGGCCCAGCAAACACCATGAGATCCGACGCCGCGAAGACCAGAGTCCAAAACCCCATCTTTCTGCGGCATGGTGCCAAATCGATCTGTGAGGGTCCCGGGTCATGAAACTTGGCGGAAACGCCCGAAGTGGAAAAATGCACGCCCGGATCTCAGAGCAGCGAAAGCCTACGAAGACGGCAGAAGCGGACGACGACGACGACGGCGGCGGCGACGACGACGACGACGACGACGACGGCGGCGGCGGCGACGACGACGACGACGGCGAGAGGCCCGGCGAGGGGGGGGAACTGGTGCGGCTCGAGCGCGCCGCTGGTGCTCTTGGAGACCGGCTGCCTGCTCGGCCGGGGCTGCCCGTGCCCGAAGACGCCGAGGTCGGCGTGGTCCTGGGAGGGATCCAAGGGCAGGACAGGGCTGAATCTAAACAGTGCTTTTCGTTTTCGTTTTGTTTTGCGTTCTTCCTCGTTGTGCCTTCGATTCGCCTTGAATCCAAAACAATACGAAAAACAGAACGGCCCACGAGATGGCCAAAATACCGTTTAGGTCCAACCCCGGAGCAAGATGACCCCAAATCAAATCGGAAAATCGAAAAGGCCATCAAAATACATCGAATCGGCCAAAGAAATCTTTAAGCAGAGCGGAAGGCAGCGGGATCGGCGTCCGCCAGCCCAAGGTGAGGCAGAATGACACAATCCAAACCAAAGTCGGAATGCAGAACCGAATCGAATCGAAATAGGAATCGTCGAAACCGAATCGATTCGAGCCGAGAGAGTCGAAATGGCTCCTGGAAGGCGGATCCTACAGTTTCGACTCCGACACACTGGCGTTGAGAAGAGACATCAGAGGCACTCCTTCCCACAGCACACCGCCAACAAGAGAAAAAAGCCTGCATCAACAAAAAAGGCAATCAAACAACACGTGACTGGATTTGAGCCGCGGGCTGCGATGCAAGACGCACGTTGCGACCGATACTCGGGGGCGGCCAAGAGGGGGGCGTCCAGGAGGGGGGGGGCGCAAATCATGGCCAGCGGCATGTGCGCGGCTCAAGGGGGGGCCAGGGACCTTATGAAACACGAAGAGGCGCTATGAAATCTAGAGAAATATCATGGCCCACGCCATGATATCCACCACCACCCTAGCCATCACCCCCCTCTCTGCCGCCCCCGAGATACTCGGGAGCCTCGTGCCCACCGCGCGAGTGAGCTCACGCACCGCAGCCGCGCGGGCCGACGAGGGTGGCCGGCGCGCCGACCGCCCGCGGCCTCCAAGAATCCACGGTGGGGAGCCCCGGAAGGGCCGGCTGCACGCCCCGCAACACAGCGGAACGCGCTTCCTTTGCAGCCGCCACGGGTCCTGCCGTGGGCGCCTCGGATATTTTTCGGCGACTCCGAGGGATGTGGTCTGCATAGGGTGTGGCTTGCAACCGGCACCCTTAGGGGCACCCTGGGGGCCGCGCGAGGGCCTCGACAGAGCTCTCCGCCGCGCCCCGCGGAGGCCCAACGACGACAGCGTCGTGCCCCCAGGCCCCGACGGTGCCGATCGCAAAACCACCCCCCGGCGTAACCATACCCTTTGTAATCGCCGAATTGTGTAGCCCTGATCCAAGTCATGAGAACGCGCGACGGTTACGCACTTGAAGCCCCAAGCTGCTACAACGAAAAGTGTAGCTACCAGAAGGCTGTTGCAGCCGATGTGTAGTCAACTGTGTGGCCATTTTTGTAGCCGCTGTTCCGTTCGGTTCTTTCCACCCCTGCAGGCGTCGCTCCCCCAACCCCCATGTTCTAATTCCAGCGCGCATGAACGCACGACGAAGCAATACCGCGCGGGCGCGCATTGCGTGATATCTGCAGGAGGGCCAGTTGTTCATACGGAGGCGATGAGGGTTCTAACCTTAGTAAACTACCCAAGACGTGCCAAACCACGTCTCCTCGCGAGGCGGCTGTCTGTATGATCGCTCCATTCAAATCTACTCCGCTGGAGCTCCCAGAGGTCCGCGAAAGAAACGACAGCTGCGCAGTTGGCAGCCTCCCAGGGAACCGCAAGGTCTCGTCTGACGACTGTCTCTGCTGGACCCCACAAGAGCACACGAAATTGGGAACGGTTGCGCAGGTCGCAGCCTCCCAGGGAGCCGCGAGGTCTCGCCTGACTACCACCTCCGCTGCGCACACGAAAGGGGCGACGGTTGCACAGTTCGCACCCCCCCCAGGGAGCCGCGAGGTCCGGCCTGCCCTCCGCCTCCGCTGGACCTCTCAGGAGCCCACGAAAGTGGCGACATCGCAGCCATCCGGGGAGCGGCGAGGTCTCGGTCAGGTGCGCATAAGCATTCGCTCCGCCGCGCCTCCCAGGAGCCCACGATAGATGTGACAATTGCGCAATTCGCAGCCACCCGGGGAGCCACGAGGTCTCGGCTGGGTGCGCGTACTCTCCCACTCCGCTAGACCTCCCAGGAGCCCCCCAAAGTGGTGACAGTTGCGCAATTCGCAGTCACCCGGGGAGCGGCGAGGTCTCGGCTGGATGTGCCCACTCCCTCACTCCGCTGGGCCTTCCAGGAGTCCACGATAGTGGCGACAGTTGCGCAGTTCGCACCCCTCCCAGGAAGCCGCGAGGTCTCGGCTGGATGTGCGTACTCCCCTGCTCCGCCGTGCCTCTCAGGAGCCCACGAAAGTGTCGACGGATGTTCAGCTCACAGCCCCGAAATTGAAGGTTCGAGGGAGGGAAGCAAGGAGGCACGAGGCAGGAGGGGGGAGGAGGAGGAGGAGGAGGAGGAGGAGGAGGAGGAGGAGGAGGAGGAGGAGGAGGAGGAGGAGGAGGAGGAGGAGGAGGAGGAGGAGGAGAAGGAGGAGGGGGAGGGAGACGCGCGAAAAGCCCTTTTCAAAATGACATGCCAACAAAGGAGGAATGGGTAAGGGAAGCAAAGAAGAGTCCCACAAGGGTGACGGCGACGGAGGGCCCGAAGACGTTTGGTCAAGCAGCCGTTTCGCCTGAGACTTGCGCGCATTGTTGTCAGGAATCGCGCGCTCGCCTCAATGCAGGCTAATGTTTTGGTCTGGACGGCCACGCTCCCTCGTAAGAGATGAGCCACTCTCACCATCCCAGCCTTCCGCACCATTCTAACCAGTCTAACCAATCCGCCCCTTCACCCTTGTTGCTGTTACGGTGCTCTGCTGGGGTAAATGCCCGCAGGCCGCCAAAATGTTACACAACTGTTGCCAGACCTGCACATGTACACGTCATCGTACACCCCCTACTCTGAATATTTGGGAGATCGGACAAAGCCCTTTGATCCCCGTCGACAGGTCGCCCAACTAAGTTCTGCACCACAGATATGTTTCGACCAGCCCAGACCGAGCCCAATGATGCGATCGGGGGGGGGAGAAGGAATGAACAACGATCTCATCTATTGCGAGAAAAAGTCTCGCAGCCTCGAAGGCATCAGGGGGTCAACATTTTGAAAATGCACCGTTCCCGTACCCCTGACTCCATCACTTTTTCAATGACTTCGACTCCCAGGAGGTCTCGAAACCTTCCCTGGGGTGAACTTTCCACCCTGCATCGTTTTCAGACGGCCGCTTCACCCCGTGAGGACCCCTGGGCAACAAAACCAAAAACTACCGTCGTGAGTCTTTCCTGACCCGAGGGAGGTCTGGGTTCGTCTCTATCTCACATGTGCTTCGCTGTGACCTTCGCCGCGGCAGGCCGGGGCAGCGGCGCCTCGCCCGGCCGGGCGCCCGCGGGGCTGGCGCGGCCGTGGGGCCCAGGCGGGCCGCCGGCGCGAGACTGGCGGCCGCGCCTGGCCTCGGCGAAGGGGGAGGGAGGGGAAGCAGGGAGAAAAGAGGGGAGGAGGGGAGGGGAGCGAGGCGGAGGGGAGGGAGGAGAAGAGGGAGGAGAGGGAGGACAAGGAACAGCAGCAGGAGGAGTCTGGCCTGCGCACTCGAGAACGCACGGCTCGACTGGGAAAAGGGGCAAGGCAGAAAGCAAACGGGGTGCCTCAAAACTCAATTCATGACGACAACGGAATCCTCACCTCCGACGGCGGGGTGCATGGGCCAGTGGACGAACGGGTTCTCCTGAAGGCCACGTCCCAGTTCCATTCTTTTTGACACAACTCCACGTTTGATCTTGTTGATGATTGTACGTTGACCGGCGGCCATGCTGCCTGGACACGTCGCCACCAATATGTTGAGTCGGCCTCCTCCGTGCTGAGCAATGTGACCCAGGCCCAAAGACATGGCACCAGAGCTGTCCGTTCATGAGCGAACAACGGTGGTCATATGCAAAACTCTTGCCACGGAAGACAATAAATGCCTGAGGGGTGGGCGAGAGCTGAACCGGCACGTTGAACGCTACAAATCAGCACATTTGGTAGATCGAAGCCAATCCAACAAAATCCGGGGGTAAGGAAAACATTAATTTTCTGCACTGTTTTTTTGCGCCCGTCCGTGCCACGCTGCTTCATAAGGTGCCCACTTTGAACATCCAAAAACATTTTTCCGGTCGGCGCCAGTGGTGTCCTTGAGCTTGCGGGTTCCATCTGCAACGGTTAACGAAGAATGGTAACAACGTGGCTCACAACTGCCGCTGCTCGCATGTGGATCCCGGCCATATGGTGCCTCCACATTTTCAAACCGTCCACTTGAGTCTGGATGTAGTTCATCGCCTTCGCCACTGCCGCTTTGGCTCGTTCGTCCGCCACTGCATTTCCACGGGAAGCTTCTGGTGGAACCTTGCACCGGGAGTCCTGCCTGGATCCACCTAGGTGTGAGTAGCATTTTTTGAAAGCGATACCCTCACGTCCACCTGGCCGAGTGTCCGCAGCCTGTTTGACTGCCATCCACCAACTGAGGTTGCTGCCTCCGGGGTTGGAATCTCGACCTGCCTGCCAGCCATCAAATGCAATTCGCTCATCTGTCAATATTGGATCATCTCCTTCCGCAGTAGCAATAGCGAAGGCTAGTGCAGCAAACTCAGAGAAAGACACCGCATGTCTGTCAGGAGTGAGCCCCCCGTGCATTTGGAGCTCACGACCGGCCAATTGTAGACAATATCCCCAAGCTGCCCTCGCTTCTGTTCCGTCTGTGGACTTTGAGCCATCTGGGAACGCCAACTTCGCTCGGAGTTGAACTCCTCGTGTATGAGCCAAGCCATGAATGACATGAGGTGGTGCATAAGTTGGCCAACCGCAGGGCTGCAATAGCTGAGGTCGCATTCCTGCCACGAGATAGAAGCAGGCACTTGGCTGGGACGTCCTGGGAGTATGCCTCGAAGCCACACGGGGCGAAGCCCAGGATTGTCAGCCACCTGCTGCCAAGCACGGTTCGGAAGGTCCGCCAGCGCCTCCAGTCATGGGTGTTCGATGCTTCTGTTGCATGCGCAACCGCATGTATGGTGAAATGTGTATTCGACTTTCGTCTCGCAGCTGCTGCATTCTGCCGCGGCGAGGCACTGTCCTTCCACTAGCCTCGATTGATGCCAAAGCCCACTCGACACTAATGTTTTCACTGCGCCAGCATATGTTCAAACATGTCCTTCCGCGCATGGAAATGATGGGTACTCGCACTTAGACAGCGTCCCCACGTTTCATGTCATGACCATCCATGCGCGTGGGCGCTTATGTGCAAAGACGTTTGCTCATAAGTTCTCATATTGTTTGGCAGAATTCAGTGAGGCCCAATGCGTTCCCACCTTGAAATCCTCTAACATCATCGTCGTCGTCAATCCACTTGTCGGGTAATGCAACGTCCCATCCAATATCTGAGAAGCCTGCGGTTAGAGCAGCCATTGGGCCAGCAAGCGCTCGCCATCGGGCGTTGGCTTTCTTGCCCATGGAGATGCTGCGTATGTAAATCCAACCTTGCTGGGGCCTGCCACGTAGAGGTTCCTGTCTGCGCCAAAGTTCGAGCCACCCCGTAGCCTGCCGACGAAGTGCTTGCGACACTGGATCCCACTCAGGGTAGCAGAACAGCATGGCCGTCGCGTTGCAGTGCCACCCTTTGGTGAAACCTGCCATGTTGGCTCCCTAGCTGCTTCGCGAGGGGACAGGTAGTCCAAACGCAGGGGCGTCGTACGAGGCACTGACCTGACGTGAGATAAACAAAGCTGACTGTCATGTTCTGTGTCGTGAATGCGTAAGAACGAAGTTTGCCCTCGATGCTCTGATGCTTGCCGCTTTGCGTCGAACTCTAGTTGTAGCCACCGTGCGTTGCCGACCGCGTGCAGCATCCAGCCCAAGATTTCTGCCATGCAGCTGCTTCTTGATGGAGGTAGTGAGTGGTTCAAGTCTCTTCGCCACCGCGTCGTGAACAACTGGTGGAGCCAGCAACGTCGGTGTATCGGATATCGTTAGGTCAGCTTGCAGAGAGCCCTTTTTAATATGGCAAAGGATGACTCGGAGGTATGAAAATGGACGGGCGCCAGCATGCCTTGAAGTCGGGGCGCTCGATCGCCCACGTATCCCCGAGCAGACGTCCCCGCTTGCTTCTCGTGCGTGGCCTCCTGGATGTGATACAGCAATGCCCTGGCAGAGTGATTTGCCGCACGACACCCTGCAAGGATCCAAATTGTGCGGACAGGTCGCTTGATCAGCGTACGCTCCATGAGCACGTAGAACTCTTGGAGCCAGGTGAGGAGGGCCAAGTGCAATTCAATGGGGGGGTGTCGTCAATTTTCCGCGTCAGGAATCCCAGTTTTGAGAAGACGTGAACCTCTTCCAACTCCAGAAACAACTCTGCCACCAAAGTGGTTCGTAGGTGGAAAGATGCCGTATCCAGTGCAGGAGAAAACCACCTGTAGCGCCGATGATCCGTTGATAGCATTGTCCAGAATCCTGCACGGTGGTCGCACCAATCCCAGAGATCTCGTCTGCATAACTTCCCATTTCTACGAATTGGCATTGGAAAAAATCCAACCGTCCTCCCACCTCCAGCAGGGTCATCCGTGGATTTCTTGGCCAGCATGGTATACCATACGTGAAGCCACTGTGTCGGCCATCTCAGAGACCCAACCGCAGACGTGAGCAAATCAGCAAGTTGAGCCCTTCCTGCTGGAGATGGCGCGATGAAGTGCTCAGGCGCCCGCCACCTACTCCAAGCACCGTGTTGGGCTTGAGCTGCTTCGCCGCCCTGAGGAGTTGCGCGCAGAGCAACTTCTTTCAAGTGTCGTAGCACACGTAGAAGCTCGTCGTCTCGAGGGTGTTGTGAGAGGGAGGGCAAGGAGGAGGAGGAGGAGGAGGACGGCACATGGGGCCAGTCTGAGGTGGAGCGCAGTAGGGAGGAGAGGGAGGAGGAGAGGGACCCGCAGACCCGATCTGGAGACGGAGGAGCCCAACTCTCTGCCGATCTGGTTGTTCAACCCTCGTGGTTTTCCTGCGTTTCGGCCCCTGGGGCAAGGCATCGGGCCCCGCGACCATCAACAATAGATCCGTAACCGATAAAAAAAAACACCCAAGGAAGAAGGGGGAGGGGGGAGGAGAGGGATGACGAGAGGCGACACCCTTAGCATCGAATTGGCCAACTCGTCGTGCTCAGGCCTCGTCCCCAACCGCAAACTCAGGAGTGGCCACTTGGACTTCTGCACACGTGCCTCAGCGATTGCCCAGCTGCGCTCCATGAGAGAACTGCTTCGACCAACACGAAGATCCCACAAGCCCTTTCGGGCGTGAGTAGTTTAGCGCATTTCCTCTACCAGCCCCCTTCTTTCCCTTCGGGGAAGGGTTTATCACTATTCTCTGTTCATCGGCACTCCCTCCCCCAGGCGACCGGACCAATGAGGGCCCCCACCACCATCCCTGTCAAAAAGCAATGTAAAGTTCACTTTGGGGCAAAATCTTGGGTCATGATCGGAGAGACCGCGAGCACTTTGTATTGTTGTTTGATTGGGACCGCGGGGATGCCCGCATCTTGCCTGCTGCAAGCAGGGCCAGCATCCCTTCCAAATTAGCCTGGCGAAAAACCCAAGCATAGGCAGTTGTGAGCACCGTCGTTGTATACACCGCATTCGGAGGAGCTCCCTATCGGGGATGGACAGAACCCCCTTTAGTAAAACGTGGTTTAGTGAAAACAACATCGGGCCCAAACCTGGCGGGCGCAAGCCTGGAAAATGACGGCCGCGGCGCCCTCCAGAGAACCGAAAACGGACAATTCACTAATCGACGTGGCAAGGTGGGGGTTCTGCCCACCCCACGAAACGAGTGAGGGGTGTGCCAACATGTGTCCGGTGGGCGCATGCGGAAGCAGCCACTGGGGCCGTCGGTGGAATTCCCTATGGGGCCACGAAACGCGTGAGAGGTGAGCCGAAATAGGTGCGGTGGGCGCATGCGAACGCAGCTATTGGGAACGTCGGTGGAGCTCCCCCTATGGTGCCGCGAAACGTGTGATAGGTGTGCCGAAATGGATACGGCGGGCGCATGCGAACGCAGCCACTGGTGCCTTCGGTGGAGCTCCCAATGGGGCCTTCGGTGGAACTATCTATGGGGCCACGAAAAGTGTAGGGGTGTGCCGAAATGAGTGTGCGTGACGCATGCGGGCGGTGGCACTGGGGCCTTCGGAGGAGCTCCCTGCGGGGCCACGAAACGTGTAAGGGGTGTGCCGAAATGGGTGTGCGTGACGCATGCGGGCGGTGGCACTGGGGCCATCGGTGGAGCTCCGTATGGGGCCACGAAACGTGTGAGGGGTGTGCCGAAATGGGTGTGCGTGGTGCATGCGGGCAGTGGCACTGGGGCCTTCGGTGGAAGAGCTCCCTCTAGGGCCACGAAGCACTAGGGCGGTGGCACTAGGGCCTTCGGGAGCTCCACGTGGGGC